ACACACACATGCAGCACACATACACATGCACACACATGCACACAACATATACATATGCACATACATACATGCCCACACACATACCCACACACTCATGCACACACACACACACACAGACACACACACACACAGACACACATTTTAAATGTCTCCAAGGAACTAAAATTGGAATTCTCATGCACTGCTGGTGGGAATATAAAATGAGACAACCAGTTTGGAAAGAGATTTATTTTCTCTGTGTAGCCCTGGCTGTCCTGGAACTCACTCTCTAGACCAGGCTGGCTTTGAACTTAGAGATCTGTCTGCCTTTGCCTCCTTAGTGCTGGGATCAAAGGCATATGCCGCCATCACCCAGAGACGAACGTTTCTTAGAAAACTAAATATATAGTTACCAGTCACTCCATTCTAAATGCTTACCCAAGAACACTGAAATGGGAAATATGCCTGTGCAAACATCTCTCCACGGACTTTCATGGAAGCTGTATTTATACAGCTATAACTGCTGTCGATCCACTGGTCCCTCAACAGATGGAAGGAGAAAGAGCCGCAGACTGTGGAATCATACGGTTTCATGCATGAAGTCTTAAAAGGCTGAGCAAAGGATGACTTCTGCTCAGTTATATATTCTAATTTCCAATGTGTTAATTTTTACTTGGATAAAATTTTAGAAAACATGGTCTAGTCTTTAGTGGCTGAAGCCATGGTTTTTTGTTTTGTTTTGGTTTGGTTTTTGGTTTTTTGGTTTTTCGAGACAGGGTTTCTCTGTGTAGCCCTGGCTGTCCTGGAACTCACTCTGTAGACCAGGCTAGCCTCAAACTCTCGAACTCAGAAATCCGCCTGCCTCTGCCTCCCAAGTGCTGGGATTAAAGGCGTGCGCCACCACCGCCCGTCGAAGCCATGGTTTTTAAGGCTGCTTAGATAGGAGGCATATGGGATTCAGTACAAAAGCCTCAAGGACATTGAGGACCCTGGTGAATGTGTTCCTTATCGGGACTGAAATGTTGTTTTTAGTAACACTGTGGTCTATCCTGCATCAACTTTACTCCAATATGGCTTTTTAAAAGCCTCTGAGGCACTCCGATGTGTTAGTGCAGGCTGTCTCTGGGACAGCCTAGGGTCCTCTGCCACTCAGATTTCCATCATATATTCAAATAGAGTTTCCAAGCAGCACAAGGCAGGAGCCCCCCATCCCTACCCCTGGCTAAGGGGACAGCACGAGAGAGAGAGAGAGAGAGAGAGAGAGAGAGAGAGAGAGAGAGAGAACAGACAGACAGACAGACAGACAGAAACAGACACACAGAGAAGCAGACAGACTCAGGGAAAAGAGTGTCTCAGTAGATATGCAAGATGTTTGGAAAGTTTTGAAATATAATCTCATCACAGACTTAAGGAAATAGGTCTATACTCTCCAACCACTTCTGTTCCACGTCAAAAAGAAGTGTTGGAGGAAACCACATCATCCTCTGATGCTTACTGATAGGGATGAACTCAAAGAACGGCCTTGTCAGAATTTCCAGAATGAAAATTCAAAAGGTAGAGCGATACAGAAACCCTAATGGTAGCTGTAAGGAAGACAGATGCTGAGAATCAAGAGTGGGTATGGTGTACTCAGAACCTGAATCTACAAGGCTTTTCTTCTGTGTTAGACCAAATAGACTGTTCCCTAAAAATATGAGCTGTACTTGAGGCCCAACAAAGCGGCTCAGATGGTAAAGGTGCTTACTGCCAGGCTGGTGGCCCTGCTTGGGTGGAAGGAGAGACCCAACTCCAAGTGGCTCTCTGACTTCTGTACTTGTGCTTCGGTACACACACTAATAAAAAGGTAATGAAATTAAAAATAGCACTAGCTTTCCTATTTCCCACAAATACTATAATTAAAAAAAAAACATAGCAAACAGAAAATGACTAGTGTAGTTTAAAACATAGTGCTTCTCTTTTGCTTGTAAGTTGTTTGCCAGTGGAAAAAAATTTCTGGTTGGCCCTGTCTGTGAGGAAGGCTTGTCTCTGTAGAGTATTGAGGTAGCTAAGGCTGAGGCATGGGCTAGCCATCAGCCCTCAATCTTACCATGGCAGGCAGCCACACAAAGACAGATCTTCCTGTATCTGAGGACTGGAATCTACCCGTCCAGCTCTCTAGACCACACTGCCTAAGAAAGGGACCACACATTCCCAGGAAAGGGTGCAGCCATCCCAGCAGAAATGAAGACGTGTGCCTTTATCTCTTTGGATATCAGACTATTGAAACAACGAAGGGAATTGGAATTTCCCCAGGAGTCTCATGATAGAAAGGGGGAGCTGGATGGGCATCTTGTCTTCTGGGAACCTCACACAGTTCTGAGCACTTGTTAGACTCCCTTTCAGGACAGACTGGACTGGAGACAACGATCTGCGTGGGACCACACCTTGGCTAGGATGGCTCGGTTATACAGAGCTTTTACTTTCTATTTAAACCTGAACCTCATGCCAGGACCCCAAATATAGACTTGGGTGGAGGTTATCACTGTGTTACCAGATTTATTTGGATTAAAGCCTGAGCCCTGACAGACTCCTGACGAATTAGGTTTGGTCATCTGTCCTCAACAAGTCAATTAAACAAAAAAGTAATGTTAAAAAGCAGGGGAGAGCAAGAGAGACAGAGAGACAGACAGAGACAGACACAGAGTTGTTTAATGTGGCCATTGGTTGGGAAGAACAAAGATAGCCAATGTCCTTCTTTGTCTTCGAGGGTCCTCATCTGAGGTTCTGGGTTGAGTATGTTGAGTATGCTGATCTGGGTTAGGCTGTGCTTCTGCCCATCACCATTGTCCTAGCTTGCCTCTACTGCAAGCCTGAATGTAGCTTGCTAGGAGTTGTCAGGACGCACATTCTGAAGCTAACACCAACTCCCAGTAACAAGGACACCTCTGAAGACTGTACAGAGGCCCCAGAGCCCTCTCCCATCTCTCTAACATGGCACTGTGAAACATCTTGTGAGTTATCTGGCATAGTGGCACTGTTCCTGCCTCATGTGGGGTGAGGTAGAGAAGCATAGGGAATGGTGTAGAAACCCAGGACTCCACCTGGTTTGGGTTACACTTGCCTACCTTTTAATAACACTAGTGGCAGCCTTGCTCCTTTACCTGCACATGCTGTGCACACACACCCTCTCTCTGAACAATGCACCCAACAACCTCAGACCTCACCTTCATCAGGCCACACCCACACCCCCTCTCTGAACAATGGGATATGTTTCTTTTCTCTATCAAATTCTGACAGTTTCTATTCAAAGGTATTCCTCATACATCCTAGT